AAAGTAAAACTCATATATCTGTTTTCAAATCAACATTAGCGACTCTTTAGCTCTTAACTATCAAGTAACCACTAAAACCCACTCCAAAGATGAATGCAAGAACATTTTGATGAAGTGCTGTCACCTGGGCCTCATGATCCGGTTCCGAATCTCGTCGGTCGCGCTGTTTTATGCAATGGGTCAATCAATCCTCGCTTAGAAAGCCCTATGCGAGGTAAGCCTTGAGAATCTTCATATGTAAGCATATCTCTCGGACGTCAGATAACCCATTTTTCGTTTGTAAATAGGTTTTCGAGACTACCAGCAGATCGTATATATGAGGTGCATTCCCCCTATTTCGTTTAAGTTGATAATGGAACTGCTAGTTGAATTTTTCCACACTGATAAGATTAAACCTTACGTTTCCAATACAAATCACACAGCTTTGCTTTCCTAAAAATAGTCTAATCCAGGATGAACTGTAGTTGCGACCTCACCTAAGTCTCATCTATAGAATGTGATATTGGAAGATGCCTGGTCTTCATTGAACTTCATATCTGCCCTGTGACCAAACGGCACTCATCGCAATGCAGCGCAGTGGTTAATGTGGCAAGATTGCATACTGCTCTGTCATGGTTCGATTCCCGCTGGGGGTGATGATAAGACCCAGGCGAGGTCGAAACTGCAGTCCATTCTGGATGAGTAGGCCCTTTGAGAATGCAAATCTATGTGAAATGCATAGTAAACCTAAGGTTTGCTTATATGATTTTAGGGAAATTCAACTACCATTCCCCTTATCACCTTAAACGAAATAGGATGAATATATTCCATATTCACATAACCAAGGCAAATTATAGTTGGCATAGTTTCATGTTATGCACTTTCGGAAAATCAATATAGTAACATTTTCTAAAAAGGATGCTCTAGGACTGAGAGTTCATTGCTTTTCTGTCAAAATGCCTCCAGCTTATAAAATAGTGACGGCTTATCTGATTCTTCCTATTTGATCAGCTGTAGCGCTTGGAAAGCAGAATTTGCTGGATAAAACGAGTCCAGGTTAATTATCCGCAGTGAATCGAGTCTGTTACACCCCTTCGGTTTTCATAGTTGCCTCTATCCAGAAGTATAATACCTCCAAAGGGATGGCAAAACTTCGAAACAGTTTGTCTCGGATTGTCACACATTTAGCAATAAACTATTGCTGAAGCTTTGACCTGCTAAATAGTGTTGGCTACGAATATGCATCCGCTCCCAGATAATTTGCCATTTCACTTTCATTTCCAATACTTAAACATAATATATGAACCAAAACTGGGCGTAACTGGATTCCTTGGTGATTTATCGTGACATGATTTTTCCCTTCAAAACAAGCGCTCTCACCGGAAAATGAAAGACCACTTCTTCGCACACTCGAGCAGTCTTCATTCCGAGGTTTCCGGTGCGGCCAATTCACAAGCTCCTTCCAACCAACTTTTCTCTCGAAATGGAAAATCATGTCAGATCGTATCCATAACCCCATCATATGACAGGGAGTATGGACAACTGTCAAGGGAAACTCCAATTATGAACACGTTCGGTGGCTTTCCGTTTTCTCTTGAATTCTGCCGTAGATGTTGGATCATTCATGAGCGAATTTCACAGTATTGGCTACCCACACATTGCCAACGCTTGATGTGGGATCACTCACGCCTCAGGGTGACGGCCAAACATGTACCTTCGACGACTCCCGACAAACTTACTTCTCCTGAATGGGGTACACAATAGGGCGTCCAAATGCATTTATTGGGTCGGCTGCCTATACGGACGATAGCCAAACGCGTGTAGCTGATTGCTCGGCTATGAAGCCACACCGCTCGGCAAGGAAATGCGATCACCAATGGGCAAGTATTTTGTCTATGTACATACATTCATAGATATGTAGGCCTATACCTAAGAGATGAGTTATCTGCACTCGACGAAGAATTATGACTTTTAGCATTCGACGCGACAGTCAAAGCCCAGTCAGTGAAATAGGCGTCTGACAAAACATGGCGTAATCAGGCTCGCATTTATCTTTCTTTACTCCTTTGTCGGAGGTTCTGTCTAATTCATCCGGATAGTTGTCTCCAAGTCACTGGATGTGAATCTGTTTATATATTCACGCATGTGTGCGTTCCAGCGCGGGTGTGAGCCAGTTGCTCCGTGTGTGCATATGTGTGTGTGTGTGTATGTGTGTGTGTGTGTATGCACTTTATGTTGTTCACTATTCTACTTATAGGTTCTGATAAGAAAGCATTCCTAGTGCTCTTCTTCGGACAGAATGAAGGGGTGATTAGAACCACTCATCAATCACGACTATCTCTGTAGGGATTTTTTCAGAAATTTGGACGATTGAATTTCCGCTCGGCTACAATAAGCCGGTCTTCCTTGAAAGTGGCCCGGATAATATTCCAAGCTCCGGCACCGGTGCTTCATCTACTCATAAATCTATCGCATCCTCTCTTCACTGGCACCCGCGCTGTCTCTTCAGCTCTCTGGCTCTCCTGCCGTCCTGCATACACACTCTATTTCGCCTTCGCTTGGTCTATCACTCAATTTTTTTTTTATATTTTGGCCGATGACGAGTCGACGCTGCTTAGAAGAACATGACCTGTTACCCTCTCGAACTGCTAGTCGAACTCGACATCTCAATCCGGGCCAAACAGCCTCCAGAAATGTCATTGATCCTCCACCAGCAGGGAGTGATAATCTCAGTCGCCTCTTTGTTCGTCTTCATCCGTCCAAATCATTTACTAACTGCCCATCGAGCCACCTTCAACTGTCAACCAGCGTTCTCATCCGGCCGGTCTAGGCGGACAGAGGCACAAAATAGCCAACATGAGCACAGCTTGGCGTATATTATTTATTTATTTTATATACTTAGTTAGTTAGTTAGTTTTGGAGACAAAAGCACAGTTTGAACAGTCCGACAACGACACCCATGCAGGCCCACAGGCCCGAGACAGACGCACATTTGCGCAGGCAGGCTATGCACAGACGCAAATCCAGAGGCAAGCTAGCCAACATGTAAAGTCACATAATTTATACCATAGTATCCTGACCACTTGCCCGTCCGGTCTTGGACAAAGGGCAACCAGATGGTCGGCGTATTATGCCGCTCTTTTGACAAATGGTCAATGATGGATGAGTGATGCCCCACTAGTGGAAGAATCAAGGGGAAGGCAGTGTGATTTATGGGTTGCCATATAGTTGACGGTAGTCGGCTGTCCTCCGCCGCCGCTTGAGCGCCCCACTTGCCAACCCTGAGGCTGGATGTCCAGCTGTCTGGTTGTCTGGCGGCCGGGCAGACTGTCCAACCGAGCCGACTCTGATCCGCTTGCACATGCCAGTAAGGCCTTGTCTGCCACAATTGGCATACTCTTCCTTCACCTTCTCCACCTGCCTCCCCCCATTATTTCTCCTTCTTCGCCTTTTCCTTCTCTTCATACTCCCTCTTCCTTCTTCCCCACATCCTCCTCCTCTTTCCGCTACGACTACCAATACTATTACTACCACAACTATTATCATTATTATTATTACTACTACTACTACTACTACTACTACTAATAATAATAATAATAATAATAATAATAATAATAAT